TGTGTGTGTGTGTGTGTGTGTGTGTGTGTGTGTGTGTGTGTGTGTGTGTGTGTGTGTGTGTGATGGGGGGGGCAGCAGCGACCCACCAGGAGATGAAGGTGTCTGTGATGGTCTCAGTGGCCATGAAGAGAGCAAAGACGATCCAGTACATCATCCAGCGCACCTGCGGGGGAGCCACGGGAAGAGAGGCGGTGAGTCGGAGCTGCCGCCGGGCAAGAGGGGGGGAAAGCCCCCCGAGGAAGAGGGGTGCCCAGACCCCCCCGAGGCCCCCCAGACTCACGTACTCCCGGACGTCCTTGTTCCTGACGGCCTTGTAGGAGGCGTAGGCCGGGTAGAGCGTCCCCAGCAGGAGCCTGTAACGGAAGGAGGGCGTCAGGCAGGCCGGCCAGCCTCGGTAGGCGCCCGCCAGCAGAGCCAGCCAAGTCCGCCGCCCCGAGCGCAGCGCCGCCGCCTTCAGGGAGCCCAGCAGCGCCATGGACGCCCGGGAGGGAGGGAGGGAGGGAGCCGGTCCGCCGCTCCTGCCCCGACCCGTCCGGCGCCCAACTCGCCAGCCACCGCCGCCCGCCTGCCCCGGCCCGGGACTCACTGCACGGCGCGACTGAGCGCCCAGACCACCATCGCCGCTCCAACCGCCCGCGCGCGCTGCCATTGGCCGCCTTTAACCCCGCCCCCGCCGCGGGCGTGCAATCGGGGGCGTGGCCGCTGTCCGGTCCGGTTTCTCTCGTTCGGATCTGGTCGGCGGTTGGATGGGCGGAGCTTCTCCAGCGGCTGCCACGCCCCCTCCTCTTTCCCGTCACGTGACCGACTCAGGCGGGATCTGCGCTTCCGGCTCCCACTTGGAGGAGTCTCGCGGGAGCGCCGAGCGGCATCGATGGCGGTGGGGGGAGGGGTCGACATTTCTGGGGGCGGCTGCAGCTCCTCCTCCGCTGCGAAGGTCAAGGGCGGCGAGGGTGGATGCGCGCGCCCCCCTGTCGTTTCTGAGTGGGGTCCAGATAATAAACTCCTCCGCACCCACCCCAAAAGGGAAGGGGAGGGGGGCTGCAAGGGGAAGGGGGCTGCAAGGGGAGGGTCCCGGGGGGAGGGCGGTCAGAGGCCTCCTCCAATGCGCCCCCCTGCAGCCCCCCCCCTGCACTGAAGGCTGAGGGACTGGACCCTCCGGGAGCTTTCGCCAGCGGGGGGGAGGGGCTCGGAGGAAATAAAGGGGGGGAGGGCTGAGGGTCCCCCTGCAAAGGCTCCGAGTCTCCATGCTTCTCTGAAGGAGCCGCTCCGTCCTTGGATCCCGGGAGTCACGAGCTGCCAGCCACTGAATCCATCGGGCGTCGCAGGCATTCCTCTGCAGGATCCCGGAGACGCTTCTTCAGCAATTCCCTTCCAAACCCTTAGAAGGCCACGAATCGGTCTTTAAACTCAGCCGATGGCCAGTTGCATCTAACTCAGCAACTTTTAGGAGGCCAAGGAGCTGAGTGCTGCCCTGAGCTGCTCCTGCCTGCCAGCCATTCGCTTAGCCACGCAGGTGATGCCGGCTCTGAACAGTTGGGAGCCTGGTTGCGGTGGCCCCCCTCACACGGTCTCCACTCGGGGCCCTCCCTCCCACTTTCCCACCAGCGGCATCAATGGGGACCTGCAGGAAAAGGTCACCAGTCACTCTGGTAAATCTTCCTGCACTCCGGCCCCATGGAGCCCCCTCCCATCCTTTGACCTCTGCACTTCAGCATAGCCGGTTCTGGGCCAGCCCTGCCTCGGCCTCCCCCAACTCAGCCTGCAGCTGCATCGGAGTTCCCAAGACCTCCCTGATTCCTGGTGGCAACCCAACTCCCTCCCCCCCACTCCTTAGCTGGGACAACTTCCCCTTTACCAACCCACAAGTCGTGGGGTTATGAGAGCCCCTCAGGCTGCAGGGAGTGTCACAGGTAAGCGAAGCAGTCACTTAAGGGCAATCTAGGTCCCAACTGCCATCATGGCCCAAAGGCCACCTGTGTTACTGTTCAGTTAAACACAATTACACAGATGTAACCAAGTGTTTAAAAGCCTTTGGGTCACAATTTCTCCCATCCCCCCTTGGCATTTTCTCTCATATTGTGTGCATCTGGAGTATCCCTATGCATAAAGTCTGTGCTTTTCTTTTTCCTTCACGTGACCTGCTTAATTCCCTGTATTTCCCAAACGAAAAATCTGGAAGGTAAAGAAGAGAGTTAGGTGTAAGAGGAGGAGAAAGGCCTCTCTTCCTCTAGTGCCTCCACTTCTCTCAAGGAGGACCCTCTCCTTGCTCCCCGCCCACAGACGGATAAAGGGGCCTATTCAGAAGGTGTTTGCTCAGTTGCATAAGCCCGTTTCAAGGGGGCTTCACTTAAGAGGGGGCTTAGCCCATTTCAAGAGTGGCCTCACTGCTTAATGAAGAGGGAGGCCAGGCCCCACACGCCCACCTAACTGAAAAGCAATCAGTCCTGCCACAAAAAGCTGTCTTAAGGGGAGGGGGACAGATTCTCCTCAGCCCCCAGTGGGATCTTGGCACTCTCACCCACAAAATGGAGGTCCAGCCACTCCACCTCTTGGCCAGGAGGTGCCTTCGGAGCCCCTCACTGCCTTAGCAAAGCTGCAGGGTTTGGGGAAATTATCTTTTCTGCATTTTAGTGAATACAGTATTAAAATTGCATTTAACAACATGGCATTAATAAATAATATTGATTACATGTAAATAGAGTAATGGTGGCAATTTTCAATCAATGTTTTCAGTTCTGCAGGAAGGCCAAGAGGGGGGTCTCCTTCCGAGGGGTCCCAGCTGAGCCGTGGCACCTGCACTAAGAGGCCGGTTCTGTGTGTGACCTGCCAGGAGGCTTCAACACGTGGCAGAGACAAGGGCGACGCGCTCCAGGACATGCCTGGGCTCAGCTGTGGGAGAGTCAGCTCAGCACCTGCCAGCTCTCCTCATCCCTGAAGATGTTGGGGCAAACATGCTGTGTTTCAGGCAAGCCATTGCTGAAAGGGAGCACCAGGTGACGGCACATCTGAAGCGCCCGTCCCAAGTTGCAAACGCCACGTCCTCTGAAGACGCCTCATCTGGAGGACCTGGAAACCACCTTCCCGGGAGAGTCGCACAGGGCTGAGAATGAGTTGGGAGGTGCCGAGGAGGGGATGCACCTCCATCAGCCTCTCCATTGGCTGCTTCTGCTCACTCAGAATAGAATAAAAAGGGCCCCATCCCAGCCCTGGGATGCATGTCAGACAACTCACCATGTGGTCCCTGATCCTGCTCAGCCTGCTCTCTGGAGGCCTGGGTAAGCAAGGGGGGCAGGGAGGCATTGAGTGAAAGAAGGCCCCTGGCTTGCCACCATTCGGGCAGGCTGCTTAGTAAGAGACCCCAAAATGGAGGAAAAGGCTCTTGGCCCTTAGTTAAAAGCTGCTGCCTGGATGACATTTGGGCCGTCCCTCCCTCTCCACCCAACCTCTTTACCAGGAGGGGGGGGCTGTTGGGGAGGAGAAAATAGGAGGAGGAAGGGGGATTGGGTATCCGCCGCGTCTTGATTTACTTATAAAGCAGTAAAGATGGAGAGGTGGTGGGGCGAGTGACATTTGTTTTATATTGCCCCCAACATTTTCTGATCCAACCCCTCAGAAGACTTAATTCAGGAATGCTAAGAGGTGATTTTCTGATTTCTGAACCCAGATGGGGGAAGGGCAAGCCCCCCCCCCCCCAGAGCCCATCACAGTTTGGCCCATTTTTGGTCAAAGATCAGCTGGGGATGCTTCCTGCCTCTTCTCTACGTCCAGCACCAGGTTTTGCCTTTACAATTTTACCCAGCCGCCATCAGGTTTTGTTGGTCAATAGAATTCATCCTTGATTCCGTCTCTCTCAGTGTCTTCTTCATGGGTGTTTATATTTGCAAAGAAAAAAAAAACAGATGGCAAACTCCTCCTTTTTACACGAGTGACAAAATGCTCTACTTGTAAAATGCGCTTGGTCTATTTCAGTTACACTCCTGGGGTAAGATTGTTAGGCTTTTTATTTCAGACTAGCTAAAGGCTCAATGGCCTTATAAAATAGATTTATTTGACAATGTATTTGCTCAGTGACCATTTGAAGTCACAGCATATTCTTTGACTAGCCTCCCTGAACTTGTTCCGCACTTTTTGGGCCTGCCAGGAACTCTCAGGTTCTCCCCCCCCTGTGCAGCACCTCTACACCTCTTACCTGGGACCACCTTCACTTCCCATTTAATGCCTCCCCCTCCCCTTCTGAAGTTCCAATGGCTGCTGGGATTGCTATTGCCAACCAACGTTGCACTTCATGGCTATAATGCTTAGCAATGGAAAGTCTGTTGCTAATTGCAGTCATAAGTTGAGGAATACCTGCGCTATTATTTTGGCAAGCAGAATAATGTCAGCAAATACCATAAGATTATACGACCTGAGACTTCTCAGGCAACAACAACTGAATGAAAAACTGGTGACCTTCTATCGCTGCATCAGAGAGAGTATTTTAACTTACTGCACCTGTGTCTGCTTTGCCAGTTGCACAGGGACAGATGGGACAGTGCTCCAGAGGGTCAAGGTCATTGCTCAAAGGGTCATTGGTTGTCCTCTCCCCTCTTTGGAAGAGCTTCATAGCTCCTGCTGCCTTAAGAAAATTCAACATCCTTAAAAATCCATCTCATCCTAGGCACCCTTTTTTGAACTATTACCATCTGGAAGATGGTACAGGACAATAAAAACAAGGGCAAATAGGGTGAAAAACAGCTTCTACCCCAGGGCAATAACTATATTGAATTCTACTGTATAGTGCAATACTAATGCCATATTGTGTTTTCAATTCAATTGTATAGAATGTGAAGGATGTGTGTTTGTGTTTTATTTTTATAGTTATAGTGTACATTGAAGATGGCATTTAATTCCGTTGTACAAGGTGCAGTGACAATAAAGTAAACTTAAGTCATTAGTGGGAGATGACTCAAGGTTCAACATCTTAGTGTCCCATGAAATGAATTGTTAAGATGTTGAGCCAATCAACATCTTAACCTATTTTAGAGAATTTTTATGGAGATAATATATATTCACCCTGAACAGAAGGTCAGACTAAAATAGTTTTTAATGCATTCTGTTTCTTCTATCCTCACTGCGTACAATCAGTAACAAGTTGACCTTCTCCTTCCCTTCCCAGTCCTAACCAGCAAGATCCAGAATGAATGTGCCAAGGGAGCAGCGTACTGGTGCAGCAACTTAATGACTGCTATCAAGTGTGATGCTTTGGATTACTGTGTCCAGACTGGGTGGAATCAAGCCAGCGATGTGAGTGTCTGGAACAGAATCAGCAATGTAGGTATTGTGACATTGTTGTTAGCCATAAAGGTCAGCAGATCCATTAGCCCAGTGGGCCTTGCCCAAAGAACACCCCAGCCGGAGATGTAGATTAATAATACCTTTGTTATGTAAACAAGGGGGGGCACCTAACCCAAAAGAGGAAAAAGGACTCTTAGAAAGATGGAGAATCACTTTATATTCAGTTCAAACCCATTGGGTTTGTAATGAGTTCTTTCATTGGCTGACATCATTTGACGCATCGGTGAACAGTCAATAGTGTTAGTAGGTAGCATGCTATGACATTTCATAGCATCCCTTAATATTCTTAATATCATCTTGTTAAGCCTCATCCTCATATTCAGGAGGTGCGTTTCCCACATTAATGTTGCAAATTTCTAAAGTTTAAGTCTATGTACAATAATAAAGGAGAATCCTTGTTCTCGGCAACTTGAACCAGTTCTTATCAGACTCTACATTCCTTGTGGAGAGCTTGTCTGTTATTTGAAAGACATCCTAATCTACTGGTAACATGAATCAAATAAATTTCTACTTACTGAAAACATTAATCAAAGAATCTCTCCTGCCTTCTGCTGTTGCCATCAGTATATAGGCATGGCCATGAAAGATGCCAGGCATTTCTGCCCAGAGGTGGGGAGGGGGGGAGCACGAGAGACATTCTGATGGGACCCTCCCTAGTTTCCCAGAGACTAAAAAGAGAAGAGAAATAGTCTTGAAAGATTCTGTGAATGGAATCTTACCATAACTAGAACTCTATGGTTGGTGTTTCTTAACTGGACTACTTCAAAGGGCTAACGGTGTCCACTGGTCTCCTTGGCTGCCAGGGCTCAGAAGTCAACATCTTGAAGCCCAGGGAAGAGGAGACCCTTCGGGACGGGGGAACAAAGGCCTTGGGGAAGAGGTTCTCAGAGGGGAAATCCCTTTTTCTTCCAGGAGGACATGTGTGCAGATTGCAAACAACTTGTCTCCATTCTGGTGCGCATGGCCAAGGAATCGGCCTTTAAGGTGACAAAGCAATCCATTAATGTACCAGCGAGAACGCTATTGGAGCACCTGCTAATCTTCTTATGCTTTTCCAAACTCAGCTGCGCAGTTGATTTTTTCTTCTTGTCTCCAGAAGTTATGGGTGCTGAACAGCCATTTGTCTAGAATGGTCTAGTGTTTCCTGCTTGAGCAGGAGGACTAGAAGACTTCCCTTCCAACTCTGTTGTTGTTTTGCGATTCTTCTATTGCCTCAAATATTTTTCTGACTTTGAAGCTGTGGACAGAGCCAACTGGTCTCAGCGGCTTCCAGCTGAAGTGGGGGGGGGGGAAATATGACCCTTGGTCCAACCCTTCTTGCTCAATCCTCTTCACATAATTCATCTCTCAACAGAAAGCCTTCCAGAAGTATTTGGAGCAGGAATGTACCAATTTGCCACTTCAGACACTTATCCCTCAGTGCCAGGCCCTGGTAAAGGACTACTATGCCCGTTTAATTGCCAGCCTGGAAAAACAACTTGTAAGTAGTTACTCCTTGTCAACAAGCAGATGCCTTGATCCCAAGCTCTTCTTCCAATCTCAGAGTCTCTGGGTTGGGGAGGATGGAGGGCTTATCTCAAGATACGCATGGATGAGGTTGGGAGTTCCCAGAATGGCCAGGCAGCATCCAACAGCCCCTTTAGCTCTCCTGAGAAGGCTTTCTGTGTAAGACTCTTGTACCACACCACCTTGGAGATCATGCAAGAGATCTTCCCACTCAGGGTCCAGCTGCCTCTGCTGGCCACTCTATAGGCTGTGCCCTTTCTCCCCATTAGGGTCCCAGCATCATATGCACCCAGCTGGGGGCCTGTCCAGCTGACCTTCCAGGAAGCCAGGATGGCTTCATGCAGCTGCTCAGAGGGCTGGAGCAGCTCCTTCCACAGCTGCAAGGCCAGAGACCCATTCTGCCCACTGGCCACACTCAGGTAAATTGGGTTTCCAAGTGCCCTATACCAAGGGCTTGTGGGACTCCTCCTTTCTCAGCAGGGGAGAGAAGGGGAGGCTTGGAAAAATGGGAAGGCCAGGTGCTCTTCTACATAAGCCTCTTCATTCTTCCAAACTTCAAGCTTTCTCTTTTAAGCCCTTTACAAAGGCCGAGAGGGAGGGGAGTGAAGAAAGAGCAGGAGGGGGGGATCCCAGTTCCACTATGGGGTCCATGTGGGGAGAAACTGGGGAGGGAGGGTTTTTGCTGCTGCTGTTTCTGGAAGACGCCTGGGCAGCTGTCAAGATCAGGCTCTGCGTGGCGTGAGAGTGACCAGCTCTTCTTTTGCTAGGAGTCCCCGCAGGAGCTTCTGCCCATTCCCCTGCCTCTCTGCTGGTTGTGCAAGACGTTTATTGGCAAGGCTGAGTCGGTCATCCCCAAGGTAGGGCATCATCGGGCTGCCATGCCAGCAGCTGTTGTGCCCTTGAGCGATCGGCCACACCCACCTGGCCACTGTGAGGGGTCCCATTGTGCTGCAGGCGGCTGGGAAAGCCTTCCTGGAAAGGGACTAATGGAAGCCAGCGTTGGGCGAGTTGACCTCCCTGCTGACATATCCGCTCTTTCCCCAGGCCACTATTGGCAAAGCCATGTCCAAACTCTGCTACATTCTGCCAGGGGTTGTGGCTGGCATGTGCCAGTGTCTGATGGAGAAATACACGGTGATCATCGTGGACACAATTGTGAGCAAGCTGGGCCCACGCCTGATCTGTGGGATGATGCTGATGTGTGCCTCGGAGGAAAACTGCAGTCCAGGTACAAAGGAGCTCAGTAGGCTGCCCCTTTCTCTCTCTTCCCAGGCCAGGGAATGACTAACCATACAACCCAGCAAGCAATGGGCCTGCGGGGAGTGGAATAAGCCAAGCCCAGCGCAGAGGAGGCTGTGGCCAAACAGGGGCGGGAGCAGAGTGGGGCAGACGCTGGGCCTCCAGCAAGGCAAGGCTGTTCAAAAGGGAGACATCTGCCAATACCTGAATGGCATGAAAAAGGTTTGCTGACCTCCAGGAGAGCCAGTCCTCCATATCCAGATGAAAACATGCTTGGAGGCCATGACTCCATCACCCAGATATTCTTTGGGATCCATTCCCATGAAATCTGTTTTTGGAAGACAGCAGCTTCTCTCAGCATTTCCAAAAAGAAACAGCACTTGCCTTCCATGCCTGGGGGAAAACTCTCATGTGGGGGAGAGGTTTGGGAAAAAGGGACTTACTGCTGCAGTTGATGCCCCTCCAGGGAAGCAGAGGCTGGAAAGGGCTTCCTTGGGGGCACACCCCCTCCCTCCCCCCATCTAATCCCAGCATCACTTTGTGCTTCTCCGCAGAGCCCCCTTTGCCAGCCACAGCTGAGGGATGCCAGATGTGCCTCATGATCAGCGGCCAAGTGAAGGCATCTATGGGGGCAAATGGCACCCGGAAGGCAGTGGAGGCAGCCTTGTCCACAGCCTGTAGCCCTTCCTTTCCTTCCTGGCCTCAGGTGAGGCTGCCCCCTGAAGCTTAGCATGCCATCTTTCCCGGGAGTGCAGGATGAACCTTTCTTTTGAAAGTGTGACACAGGCAGACAGGATGGGACACTGAATAGCACATGGGGCTTAGCTCATGCCAAGGTAATGTGTCCCCAAAGCACTAATATTCTGGGGCCAGTCTAGCTCTGCCTAAAAACCATTAAAGACTCTCCGTCTTTCATGAAAGCTGCATCTCTTTCAAAGAATATTTTCAGAACCCCCCCTCCCCCCGGGCTCCATTTCCTTTGGCCAAGGGCTAGCAAAAGAAACGCAAAGCAAAAGGAGAAACGTTTTGCCCTTTGCATTTGAGCATCCAGGAAGGGACAGGAAAGGAGAAAGGAAGAGGAAAGACAAAGAAAAAGAAGGGAAGATGGAAAGAGAGCAGAGAGGAAAAAGAAAGGAGGGAAAAGGGAAGGAAAAGGAAGAAAGCAGGCGAAGTCCTGCCTTAGCACTTGGCCACCAGCAGACGGCCAGGCTCCTCTGGCGAAGGCTTTGGCCCTCTCCCTGACCTCACCTTCCTCCACTGAGGTAATGGATCCCCCCCAGCCCCACCTGGGCCTCCACAGGTGCCCCCGACACGAGTGATGTCAAGCTGGCCACACTCAACCCCTCCCCCAGCTCTTGAGATCAAACACAACCCTGATGCGGCTCCCAATGAAATGGAGTTTGACACCCCTGAACTGGACCCTCTGTGGCCATTTCAGAACTTTCTTTCACAGCCCTCAACACCTCCAGCCATGGCAGCTTCCAGGGCTTCGGAAAAGTTCTTAAACATTCAGGGAGATCATCCAGATCATCCGGAGAGGTTCCCCCGCCCTTTCACCTGCGCTCCCTCTGTTCAGGCGGTGGGTTGGGGGATGTGAGGCCAATGGCCCAGAAGACGCATTTCCCTCTCCACCTGACTCTTCTTTTGCAGTGCCACCACTTCCTCTACCAGCACCAGCAGAAGCTCTCCGCACTGTTAATGAAGCCCTGGGACTCACAGATTACCTGCCAGGTAGGAAGGGGGGGCATTCTAACTAATCCTAAGAGGCAAAGCAGTTGGAGCCAACACACAGGCCATGTGCCCTGGGAAGACACCTGGACAGGTGTTTATAATCCAAGCCGTATATTCTGGGCTGGGGGAGCAAAGATAGAGAAAAAAGGTGCAGATGCATAGGACCCCCATTTGGGAAGATCTCTTTGGGATTCAAGCCGAGCATGGAAAGGGATGAAGCCTCCTCTGTTCTGGTCCAAGGGGATCCCGAGAGCCCTGCTCTGATGGGGACCTCTTCTTCCCGGTTCCAAAAGGAGCAGGCACTGAGTGCGAGGGTGGCAGCTGCTGCTGCTGTCTTCTGCTTCTCCAGATTAAGGAATCAGGGCCGACCCATTGCAGAGAGCTGCTGCCTGCAAATGGTTCACTCCAAGGAGAAAGGGGGAGCGTGGGCAGAGAGCTTGAAGGCACCTGGGGAACAGAGACCGGCAAATACCAGACGGGGTGGCCAGTGAAGTCAAACTATTCCCCTCTTCCTCTTGTGATGGGGGAGGAAGAGGTGGGCCTCCATTTCCTCTTGTCCCTCCGCAGGAACTGGGTGCCTGCACAGCTGAGCAACTTTTGCAGAGTGCCACTTCTTGTGCCCAGGGACCCACTTACTGGTGCTCCAGCTTGAGTGCAGCCAAGCAGTGCAAGGTGAGGATTGGGCTTTCCCCTTTGGCCTCCCCCAAAGCCGGCCACTTTATGCAGCCAGCAGCTACCAGCTCACCTTCAGGGCTACTTCAGTCCCAGCAATTCCATGAGGACCCAGTTGGGAACCAGCCTGAGCCCAAAGGGACGGATTTCAAATGAATTCAGGTGCTAGAAGCCTCTTCTCAGAATGTTGGAGGGGCTCACAAGGATCTGATTTCTCTCTCCCCCATCCTCCTCTAGGCTACAAAGCACTGCCAGGATCATGTATGGTTGTAACCAAGCGAGGAGGCCAGCTGAAGGCAAGACAGCCCTGCTCCTCTCCCCTTGACTGCAGAGGCAGAAAAGAATCTCAACTATTAAAATTAACCTCCAGATCACACTGATGAAGCCTTGTCCTTGTGCAAGCTACGTGCCTATATGAGATGACATGAGAATTCTTGAGGCGGTTTTTTACCCTAATGACACACAACTGAGAATCCCACCAAGCTGCCATTAGAAATATAGAAATGTTTTGGGGAGGGAAGTGGAGGATCTGGCCATGCAGGGGCCTGGGATCAATCTGAGCTAAGCACCCCCTGACTCCTTAAAGGAGCCGCGCCCTTTTCTAGGGTTGCAGCTCAATTGCAACCCTAGAAAAGACAAGCTCTGTCTTCATACTTCAGGACTGTTGAGCCCTGGACACTCACGCAGACAAACAAGGAACTGAGGCTCCCTCGGTCAGAGGTTCAAGGAAAAGGGATTACGGAACCTTGGAACTAAGCAAGAACAGCAGAGCCCTCATTTATTAGTAATAAAAATACGAATTTCTCCCTCAGAGATGCGCCAATGTCAGGCTGGAACTGTGCCTCTGCTCATCTGCCACCCAGGAGAGAGCTTAAACGCCATTGATTTGATTTATAGCCCCCTCCTTCTCCCAAGGGCTGGTCAACGTTAGGATCCCCCCCCTCAAATGACCCCGTGCTCAGGCCTCCTCCAGTTACAGAGTCCTTCAGCTGATCATTCAGGAGAGGAAACATTAACACAATCCCCCTAAATTGTGCCCAGAGAATAACAAGCAACCCGTGGGGGTCTTCCAGTCGAAGTGTATTGTTTTCCAAGGGATGGTGTTTCACAATTGGAGCACACACACACCCCCAGGCCTCCTTCCCTGGTGAAGCAGCTCTTTAGACAGTTCACTACTCCATTATGTTACCTTCAAAGTATTTGTTCCCATTGAGTGCTTCTTCCCATCTAGCCAAAAGCAGCATCTAAACAATACTAACACAAGTCTAACACAAACCCTCTGTGGATGGGATGCCTTGTTTGAATCACACCTCCCTGGGGGCAGGAAGGGAAGAAGAGCAGGAAAACAGCAGGGTTGGGGGGGGAAACCAGCATGCCTCTTTAATGCACAGAGAGGAGCCGAAGCGCCCATCCCCCTGCAAGACCTCCAAATGGAAGGTGAAACAGGGCTGTCCTGGTACCCAGATGAGCCGCTTGCTGGGGCTGCATCAGGACCAAAGTGCCAGCAAGGGCCTCTCCAGGTGCAGAAAGAAAATTCTGAACGGCCCAGGCAACCACCAGTCTTTGCAGCAATGTCCCAGCCTCTAACCAGGCCTGTTGCGCGCCAGGCTCCTCCTTCACGTTCCTTGTTGGTGGCTCGCTTCTTGGCTGTCTCTCCTTTTCCAGATCTATTGAAATGAAGTCAGCTCGTGTGAGGGAGGGAGCGGCCACTCTGAGCTCTGTGGCTTTGGGTGGGCAGCAGAAGGAAGGCCAAGCACTCACCTGGATGTAAGCCTCAGACAGCGTGATCATCTGGGGGAGAATATCTGTCACCTGCAGGTCCTGCAGCTCATACCACTTGCCTGTGCCCTGCAAGAGCCCCGTCCAGGTCAGAGGTTATGGCCCAAGACCAAGAGGGAGGCCCCAAGGGGAATCAGGGCCCAGGGCTGAAGGCTGGCAGGGGAACCCTTGGGGGGAGCCAAAAACTCACGTGATGCAACACGTGGATCCGGTAGGCCCCTTCCGTAGGCTTCCCATCATGCACGATGTTTGCAACGAGGTCATAGATGGTGTTCTTGTGCACGGCCTGCACTTCCTCCGAGAGGTATTCCCGCAGATCCACATTCCTAAGCAGAGAAGTCGCCCTTAAGGCTCTGAGGGCGGATCTCTCACAGAGAAAGGATCTCCTCCCCTTGTGGCCCTCCAGAGAAGGGGAAGGGGCTTCAGGGGCCAGAAGGCTTCGGACATGTCTCTGACTTCCACTAAGCCCTCCATCATCTTTGGTCTTTGTGATTTCTCACCGCTACAACAAAACGCAGGCCAAAAACGCAGGGGGGGGGGGGGAAGACCCGTTTCCCCTCTGAACTCCCTAGAGGCAGACTGGGGCCAATGTAGCCACACTCCCTGGCCTCCTTTCCCTACAAAGTCCCTAGAAAGAGCCTAGAGCCTCTGCTGGCGCTTATCCTGCCCCTTTCAACCATCAGATCGACCAGGAACCCCAACGCTTCCCCTGATGGGCTCAGAGTCTCCCACCCATCTGGCCTTCCCAATCCCAACCCTGGCCTCTGGCATTTGCCAAGGCAGCACAGATTCCCTGGAGAAGGGCCCTCCATACATACGTGATGGGGAAGTTGACAATGGTGGGATTCTTTTCCACAAAGAAGTTGTTCTTGGTGAACCTCTTGATGCAGAAAATCAGGTACGGAGGCAGCTTGGTGAGCTGGAAGCGCTTCAGGAAGTTCTCTTTGTAGGTCTTGTATTCCTGAAGGGCAAAAAGATTTTTTTTCACTTTCCCAGGGAAGCCAAGACATCTTTGCTTCAACACGACTGTTTTGCCCTAGTTTCTTTATACCCAGCAAGCATCGGGGCTCCATGCCAACAATAAACAACAGCTCCAATCTCTCCAGCTCATGATCCTTTTCAACACAGCCCCTTATTGTCTTGTATCCCGGGGGATGCATGACCTCAGCTGGAGACAGGGGATGGGCACAGGCCAGGGTGTCTTTAGGGCTGCCCTCACCAGTGTCCAGAAGCCACTTCCGTCAATCCATCCACTGCCTAGGACAGGTCTTGATGGGAGCCACAGGCAGTGCCCAGGAGAGGGAGCAGCAAGAGGACCAGGCCCCCTGCTCATCTACTCTTTCCCTCCCAGGAGGAGAGATTCCTTGACCCAGCAAAGGGACTTCAGCCCTTTGGGGAAAGAATCCTGGCTCTCCCTGCTTGCATGGATGAGGCCCTTCCCTTCCCCTGCAATCAAGGAAACAGGTGGCATTCTCTCCACGGAAGGTTTGCGCTTATAGAACGAAGGCAGCCGAGACCGCTGGGGCTGGCGGCCAAAACGGGGGCTTGGTCGCAGTTGGGGCTTTAGGAGCCCAGGAATTACCTTTTCCATGATTCCATTAAACTTGGCCAATATATTGAAAAGTGGGACTTGTGGGATGATGAGCTGCTCCTTCTCATCCTTGTAGAGAGGGGCGGTGGGGAGATCCAGGGTCAGGTACATGAAAGTGGACTCCACCATTTTCTCTTGATACTCGTTATTCTGGAGCAGCTGCTCCTTTTCTTCTGCAGGCTGAAAGAGCAACGCCATGAGCCGAATAAGCCGGGCCGCCCCAGAGACCCCTGAAGCCATGGGGTGGGGTGCTGGACCGGCCAAAGGGCCTTTTAGTGGTCAAGTGCCCAGGTGTAGGAGTCAACGTCCAGCATGCCTATGAAGAACTGAGGTTCTCATTTAACTATCCTAGCAAAGATAAGCTTTCCTCTTGTTCACTTCAGCTGTTCTTCCCCTCTGCTCTCTTCTTTTTCGGGCAAAAAATGCAACTCAGCCCGCCTGCAACTCACCAGATCAGGGTGTGGTAATTTCTTGGTGAATATCCGCATGGAGCCTTGGAAGACATCGGTTACAATGGCTGCAGACCAGAGGGGAGAGAACAGAAGAGAATACAACTTTTTCAGCCCTCTATCTCATGTTTTTAATCAACAGATTTCCAACATTTTTTACATTGGCTAGAGATATTTTGTTTTAAGTGCAAAGGCATCTATTTGTAACTCGATGTGAACAAAGAGAGAAATAGATTCCAACTGCCAAAACCTCCCCAATGGCAGTTTTGCCCTTGGTCCACCCACTGGGTCCTAGCCGAGGCTCAGGCAGGGTCACTTAGAAAGAGGCAATTCTCACAGTAACCCCGTCAAGGGCATGAAAAGATTCGAAGGGCCAGAGGCTGACTTTTCAACTGACACTATAATTAACATAGGACCAATACAAAGGGAGAGATGAGTCCATGCGCAAAGAACGTCTGCCTGGGGAGGTCAGCAGGAGGAAAAGGGAAGAACGACAGGAAAGCCTGTGGGGTCCTGAGGGATTTGGTGACATGGGGAGAAGCAGGATGGGCCAGCTGAGGCTTCTGGCCAGCAAGGGCTGCTAATGGACCATGTTCTGGTCCATATGCCTCAAGAAGCATCAGCTGAGAGCTCTTCCCTCTCAGCCTTGGAGGGATAGCCAAGGCAGCACCCCTGCAATGCTCCAATGCGCTAGGGAAGTCATGCGGTAGGATTCCTTGGTCATCCCTGCCTCTGGGGTAACTCTGAGAGGATCTCCTCATTTGGTTAAGAGGACCAGAATTACTTCAGGAGGGCTTTGAGGAGGGCTTCCTTCAAAACCCTGAAGCTTTACATAGTCTTACAAAAGGCGACATAACTTATCAGAGGCAGCAACACCTTTCACTTACTCTTCTTCTTCTTCTTGGTGCCCCCAAGAGCAGAGTGCAAGGCATTCAGGAACCAGGAGAGAAAGTCAACTCCATCCCCTGCCAAGGAGAGAAGGGCAAGGCCATGAAAGGAAGGGATCATCCGAGCATCCCCATAACCTCGCTCTGGGCCCCCTGACTAAAGCAGAATCTCCCCGCCCCCCAGATCAGGTTTAAAGCTTTACAAAAGGGGGTCATACGTGGAGGAATGCTGTTCCCCTCCCCCTTACTGAGGGCCTCAGTAGCCCTTTGCTGCCCTTCGTGCATCCAAATATCCAAATGGGGAATACTCCCAATTCAGATGCAAAGGGGTTATGTGCTCCCTATGACCAGGTGGCCGAATTGATAGTTCCACTGAGAAACCACCCCGGATGTTTCCAGGTATTCTTCTCAGCCTTTGAACTCCGGCAGCCTCTCACCCTGCTTGGTGATCTGGAAGTTCTTCTTACTGCACAGAACCACAGCCTGCAGCATCTCATGAGGAGAGACATGAGCCTTGAAGTTCCGGGGGTTCCACAGCTTCCTCATGAGCTCCCCGAACCTCTGGACCAGCAGGAACATGATATCCCCTGGAGGACGCTTGATGTCCTTGTAATTCTCTTCCTCCAGGAAGTAATTCCGCAGGGGTGGCACGTTTGACAAGGCCTACATGACACACACAAATACAAAGCAATCACGAAGTCACAAAGCCTGGGCCCTCAAGGGGGAGAGTTCCAAGCTTGGGGGGGAGGGAGAGAGATTGCTGACTTGATGGTGGCCCCCACCTCCACCCACCCCCAGCTCTGCTCTCCACCCGCCCACCTTTTGTAATCATAGTGATGCATGTGTGTTGTGTTCCTCTACTATTGTTTATTTTATGGTTGTATTATTTTACTTTTGTTCTCTTTACACTTCTTTGGCTTTCCTTTTCATTCTCGTAAGCTGTCTAGAGTAGCCCCAGAGAGAGACGGGCAGCAAATAAATTTAACAAATAAATAAGTACAATCAGTGACAAAACACACGATGATGTTTTTAAGGAGAGACTGGACAGTCTGAAATGGCATTAGGTCTCTCGCTTGAGCTGGCGGTTGGACTATAAGACCTCCAAGGTGCCTTCCAACCTTTTATTTGGTTAAGCAAAGTGGTTTCTAAGCGAAACCACAACTGTGTTTATGATCTTCCTTCAGCTTTCCTTTGTTTGTCAGACCTGTCAAGGTCATAAATGTGAGGACTGGTCAAAAAGTTATTTTTCATCACCACCTTGTGAATGGTCACTAAACAAGGCAGTCCCTAAACAAGGCCTATCTGTATTGTATTGCATTGTGCTGAATTGTATTACACTGGGGAAGGGGGGTGGGGCTGCAGTGGCTTTTCCTTCAAAGACGGCACAGTACCTGGAGAACCGCATTGGCATAGTCGTTGGCTTTGATGTTATTCAATCCCACAATGCCCGGCAGGTACGTGGTGCCATCATAGGCACGGGAGAGTTTGGCCTGCCTGTCCAAATTGGTGATGTGCTGCTTGGCGAATGTTGGCTTCAGTACATACTGGAAAACGGGAGAGAAGAAGCAAGGGAGGAGATGGCTTGCTGGAAGCCTTAGCCCAGGCCACACCGAGAGACTCATCAGCTCACCCCAGTTTGGCTCTCCTCAGAGAGCAAACAAGGCTTACAGTTTGCAATGTAGAAATGCAGCATTATAACCTTGGATATGAACTCTAGTTTTGGAGGGTGGTTAAGAACCTCCCCTCTAATGCACTTCTGCACAATAGATGGTGGGTGAATGTCTGAGTAGGGACATTTTAAATATTATGAGTTGAGCCGAGCTGGGCATTCCCACCTTTCCCCTCCACTCTTCACCAGAAAGCCACCTACAGTGATATCCTCAAGAGAAGAGTCAATGATCTCATAGTTGTCCGGTAGACAATAAAACTTCAAGGTGTGAAGGTTGAGGAACACATGATGACTGAACTGGACACTGTGAATGTAAGCATGGGACTTCAAGCCACGACCTGTGGAGAAGACAGGAGGCAGAGCAATCCCATGAGCAAGAACTGGCTACTATGTGCACCACAAGCAGGAAGGGAGGGAGGGAGGGAGTCATGTCTTGGAGTGGTGGTGGGGGAATCAATTGTTAGTGTCAAGGCTGCTGATAATCCCACAACATTTTGATCTGTCATCCCTTATGAAAAAGGATGGGAGAGGCTGCATTTCAAGTGCTGATCTCTCATTCATGACTATTATGTCAATGATCAGCTGTGATACCTGCTTGAGATTAAGCTCATCAAGATGAGGCAAGAGACACCTACCCCAGGTATTATGCACCAAGTTTTTCTACTAGGCTGATCAAAAATGTGTGTTCCTAGGCCAACTATCAAAAAGGAGAAGGGACTGAAATAGGCTTACCCTGGAAATATTTCCCACACACCAAACAAGCATAGACGTTGATATGTGAGAGTGAGATCGAACACAGCTTCTCAAAGTCAAAATCCAGGACGCTCCTGCAGTGGCACAAGATGGGATTCTTAACAACACACAGCTCTCAACACCATACCAGTGAATTTAAGATATGCAAATAATGCATTACAGGGAAACTTTAGGACTTGATAAGTCGATGTAGAGGAACAAAATACCGTCCCTATCACCATGGTGGCAGGTCCACTATTTTTAAATTAGGGATGGCCTTTCCTGTCTCATCTTAGTATTTCATGTAGTAAAACATTTTTTTTCTGATAAAGACCTCGCAGGAAAGATTTAAAGCTGTGAGACGAGAACTAGAGATTTTCCTCCTAAGGACTTCTTTTCTTAAAATAAAAACTGAAAATAATATTAAGTAGTGGGTTCTATATATAATCCTGGTATTTTATAAACTTGTGTTACTCTCAAGGACTCTTGCCTACTTCAGATTCTTTCATTTGTTTCTGCACAAGAAAAGGACCTTTGTTCACAGGAAACATATTCTTAAGAAAGAGAAAAATTGTTTCCATTTACACAAACATTTGATTCCCTGAAATCTGGGAAGGTGGAAATAAAACGCTCAGCCTCCGATGTCAACCCAGAAGCAGAGACGTTCCTGGATGAAGGCTGAGCCCCGAGTGGGTGTCCCACTCAGAGGGCTCAGAAGTTCTTAGGCTCCACTCTCTAGCAGAGAGAGCCCTTTCCCCAATTCTGGAGTGACAGGCCAGGGAGGAGGGAGAACCACAGGCAACTGACTGCAGGTATTGGGCGGACCAAAGAGGTTTCCCTCATTTTCTGGGAAATCTCTGCCCCAGACAAGGGACAGTCAGACATGGGCTGGAGCATTCAGGGGAGGGGGGCACCTAGGGGTGTTTTTGTTGATCTTGCATCAGGGGCTTACAGGTCCTTCACGGGAACCGTTTGCCAGGGATCCTTTTGCCAAAGGAGGCTTCAAACAATACACCAACTGGCCGTCCTACAGTTTCCTGATGTGTTTGTTCAGTCTCTGCGTTGACACATTTTTTTTGTAGTTATTCATTCACTGATCCCCCCAAATACAATTTCATTTTGACACTGACTTGTTGATGGTGTCCAAGTAGGGACAATGGCGGCTCCGGCGATCTTCTGGATCAAATCGACCATATTTGACTGAAAAGGGAAAACAGAATCGTTTAGTGTGAAGACGGAAAGAAACAGGCAAGATAGGAAGTGGCTGGGATCCAAGGTCCTTTTAGGGGAACGAATTGTTTATTTTCATTGACTAAATGTTTATGCCGCCATCTCCCTCACAGGACCAGCCTCTTACTGGCAGGAAAGCACCTCCGGGGATCCCCTGCTTGCCACCAGGCCGGGACCGGCCCTCTTCAAAGGCCCCACCAGAGAGAGGGGAGGGGGGTGGAGGGGATGGGTCCTGGGGGCCACCTGTGGGCTCCTCCGCGCCGTCCTCATCCTCTTCCTCCTCCGGCTCGACAGGCTCCTGCTTGATGGCGACCTCCTCGGCGGACTCCCGCTTCACCCGCGCCCAGCCCACCGTCGGGCAACCCAGCCACGGCTGGGGGCTGCGAGGCTCCCGCTTGACGCGCGCCGCCATCTCTGCGGGCGCCAAGACGACGCTCGGCGCGCCCTGATGGCGTCACCAGAGGAGCGCGCGCTTTGCTGGCCGCTTGGGGCGTTGCAGCCCCGCCCGGGCTCCTTCCGCCTCTTCCCCCCCCCATACGCACGTGGGCCGCTGTGGGGGCGGGTGAGCGGGTGGCGCGCGGGGGCCCCCTGGCGGCCGGTGGGGCGAGGCGCCGGGCCTGGCCGGAGCGGGCGCCGATGGACGCTGGGCGCTGCCATCCGGGTGGGCGGCTGGACATGA